CTCCCGGGGCGAGCAGAGCAAGAGGGCGGGGGGGGGAGATCAGCTATCATGGCCCCCGGCCGCTGCGCGGCCCGGTGCCAGGTACTCCACGGCCCGGCACCGGTCCGCGGACCGGGGGTTGGGGACCACTGCTCTACCACATCAAACTGTCAAGTTAACATTGAAACATAAAAACTATTGGATGCGATTGGTTGACAACAACACTTGACATCTATGACTTTGCCACATATGCCATTTCTTTAATGAAAGGCAATCACTTGTAGTTCCACCTTAGGCACTAAGCTAGCTGGGTGGCTTTGGGCTGAGCCCTGGGAAGAAGGCAGTAGCAAATCACTTCCAAAAATCTTGCCAAGAAAACTGCAGAAACTTGTCCTTTAGGCAAGAACTTGAAGGGGCACCTACTCATTATTTTGTATCTTTAGCTGTTCTGGTAAAGGAGTACTTACGGGAAAGAGGCAAACAATTGTTAGATTCAGGGCTATTGGCTCTTCCAGTACCTATTTGGTTAGTACACGGCACATTAAAGTAGTAGTCCTCTTAAACTATACAAGTATGAGATGTATTACTTCTATGGCGAAGTAAAGGGAAGTGATATGAAAAGGATGAGAAATATGGGCAGTGAAATGTGATGGGATTTCACTTCAGAGATTGAATTATTACAATAATTAGAAGAACATGATAATTAACCAGATGTTCTGTAAGGAAATAAAGAGGTTTCAAATAATCCAGGTACTGTATTTCTGTGTAAGGAAGCCTTTTCTTAACTGTTCCTGATGTGGATCTGAATGTTTTGAAACTACTCTTCATATAAGCATGCTGATCTACAAGTTAGAGAGGCTAGACTGCCAATGTGTATCTGTTATTGCTGTTGTATGTAAAGCCCACTTTTTACTTTTGGAGCAGTTTAAAAATAATTTCTCACTGTACATGTTCGTAATGTTTTCTCAGAGTAACTTCATACTCATTGAAGCACTCTTTTAAAATGAGTGACTCCCTTGTCATGTGATTGCACTTTGGGTGCTTAGACAGTTGCCCACATTTATGGCAGTTTGTGGCATCCTGTGATCATACGATCACAATTTGCAATATTTTTTAGTGGGAACTAATGTTTACTTCTGGATTCTGGCAAAAAAACACCCATTGCAGATAATGGATCCATTTAATAACCATGGCACTAACTTAATAATTGCCGCATTTGCTTTAAGTCTGGCAGTCATATAACAACCACTGCATAAAATGTTGTAAAATCATGTTGGTCATGTGGGTATCTCAACTTATGATCCTCATGACATACGAAAATTCTGGGCTCCATTATAGTCATAGTGAAGAACTACTGTATTTGATCCTTTAAACTAATCTTAAGTAAAAAAAAAAATCAAAAGACTGGAGCTTCCAAAATGAGCCATGTGATGACATGTCTTATTTTTCTTTAAAATGTGGACAGAAACGCCTCTCCCATGTGAGTCTGCTCTTCTATTAAAGTTGAATCACATGGAAGACTATGATGCGACTGTGTTATCTAGGATGAAATAAGGTAGGAGTAAAACTGATGATTTATTCTGAAGAAAGAAGCTTCTTTGGGATACTATTCTGTTTCCTGCCTTTAAGGGAGGAATAAGATTTTAGCCTCTCCTCTCATCAGGCCCAAAAGAAATTATACCTTTATAGCAAGATCTAAGCAAGAATTTATTAATAAAATTTATAGGTCTTTTCCCTTTGTCCCAATTTACAATTTATATCCAAGTTATTTTTACTAATTAAGGTTATCATTTCATTACTTTATCCTAGTTAATTATATGTTAATGAATGAACATTTAATAACAATCTAAAACAATCTACAAAATACTAACATTCCTACTTATTAATCACAAAAAATATCCATTAACATTTCATTATTGTGGTTAACGAGAAATTATTTACAATTTATATCACATCTCCTCTCTTCAAACCCAAAGGAATTATACCTTTATAACAAGATCTAAACAAAAAATTATTAATAAAATTTATAGGTCTTTTCGCCAAGTCCCAATTTATAATTTATAACCAAGTTACTTACACTAATTGAGGTTATCATTTCATTATTGTTGTCATAGTTAATTATATGTTAACGAATAAAAATTCAATGATAATCTAAAACAATCTACAAAATACTGAAATTTAGTTCATCAGTTTCTAAATAGGTAGTTTGTCCAGAAGAGAAAGGAGCAATAGTTATATGTAACTGATTTCATTAACATCTTAAAATAATTGGTAGAGCTATTTCAATATAAAGTATCCAGAAATAACAAGACATTATTTTCTTCCAAACTGAGAAAATTCTATAGTTATTTTGAAAGGTATCCTAAAAGGATCTGACAGTTAAAAAGTTGTTCTCCTGCAGCAATTGATTTATTTGTTAATAAATTTTGCATACAACAAAGGTTTAAGTTGTACAATTACATCCAGTTTGTGGTTGTACAATTTTTATGAAACTCTTAGGGTTGCTGACAGTAACAGACAAGATGCACTGAGACTTGTATTCTGGCCATGACATATTTATCCTGTGTTAGCCTTACAGCAGCTCTTCTTTGAAAAGATTTCTCCAGTTCTAATTTATAGAGGCATTGGCTTTTCAAATCAAGACCATTGTTCATTCTCAATTCCTGAATGAATTTTAAAGAAATCATCTGTTAATTATACTAACTGATTGAAACAATAATACAACTGGAAACTTCCTTTAAAAACACATTTATTTTTATGGATGTCACTTTTTCTTTCTAATAATACTTTCTATAATATGACTCATGTCTATAATATGACTCATGTTTATTTCAAAGCTATAGTTTTACTCATATGCAAATGTCGGCCACATGATCACGGAGACGTCTTCGGACAGCGCTGGCTCTTCGACTTTGAAACGAAGCGTTAGGAACGGCTAGCACAAGCAAGGGGAACCTTTATCTTTATGTGTATACATGCTACTACAGTATCTTGAAGATCATCAAATGAAAAGGTGCAATGTAAACTTTGCCAGAAAATACATTTATGCATTTCAGTCACTTTTAAAACTTTTATTGCAGGCTGATGCTGATGTCCTTATATAATATTAGTATCAACATGAAAGGTGTGAAGTACATCAGTGAAAATACAGGATTCTTCCCATTAATCTGGTGGCTCCTGAATGGTAAGTGTACTATTTATTCTAAAAGTGCACTATTTATTCTACAATAAATAGAAGTTTAAAATACTCAATGACATTACTTTCTTAAAATTGCTGCTCTAGATTTATTAGAACAATATTTTATATACCTAAAATGTTGTCAATAAATTGTGTATTTTAGGATCAGTGTAAAAGATAGGAGGTTTATATAAGGAAAGAAAGAAACAGGATGAGCTCTGAGGAAAAACACATCAGGGTTATAATTAGCATGTGATACAGAGCACAGCCAAGGTTTAGATTCTGATATGTAATGATGAATGATGTTAACAATAATATAATGTATTAGTATTTTATTATATTTATGGTTACTGCCCTTTAAAATATTCATAGATACATTATCTTGTAATCCTTGTAATAGGTTTCTATTTTCACTGATAGTTTTCAGTGTTGCCATTTTTAGGACCCAGATTGTTGGGGGCAATATGCTGACTCTCTGTAAACCGCTTAGAGAGGCCTGAAAGGCCTATGAAGCGGTATATAAGTCTACTGCTATTGCTATTGCTATTGCTATTG